AATCCACTCCTGTGACAACACATTAACCCACTCACAAGAGCAAAGCCATCATGACCCAATCACCTCTTAAAGGCTCCACCTCTTATTACTGTTACATTGGGATTAAGTTTCCACATGAGTTTGATAGGAGACAAACATTTAAACCATAGCAGGTATTGCAGCCATTTTGGAAAGCCATCTGGCAGTATCTGGTATATAGTCTGGATATCCGTCCTCTCTAAATCTGTTTAAATATAACCCTCAGCATTAGAGGTGGTGCCTGGCAGAAGGTGATTGCATCATGGGGTGGATTTCTCATAAACGGTTCAGCACCATCCCCTCGGTGCTATCCTCATGATAGTGCAAGAGATCTCCTGAAATCTGATTCCTTAAAAGTGTGTGGCACCCTCCCCACAACCTGCTCCTGCTCTTGCTGGTGACATGTCTGCTACTGCTTCAGCTTCTGCCATGAGTAAAAGCTCCCTGAGGCTAAGCAGATGCCAGCACCTTGCTTGTACAGCCCACAGAACCATGAGCCTAATAAACCTCTTTTCTTTATAAAGTACCCAGCCTCAGGTATTTCTTTATAGCAATTCAAGAACAGCCTAACACAATCTATTAAAATTAAACTTTCTGGAAGTGGTGGCACATGCCTTTAGTCCCAGCTACTGGGGAGGCTGAGGCAAAGGGATCACTGTACACAGGAGTTCAAGGCTCCTGTGAGGTCTGATTGCATTTATGAACAGCCACTGTGTTCTAGCCTATGGGGAACATTGAGAGACTCTAAAAAAGAAAAGTTAAATTAAAAATACATACACCTTTTGACTTAGCATTTCTATTCATGAGAATCTACCCCATAAGAATACCTAAATGTGTGGCCATATAAACAAGGATGTATAATACATTATTATTTGTGGTGGAAAACAAACCTAGAAGCAAAGCAAATGTTCTTCAAAAGAAGAATGGTTGAATATATTTAGACTTGCCAAGAAATATTCTGCAGTCATTAAAAAATAAATTGGAGGCCGAATGCAGTGGCTCATGCCTGTAATCCCAGCACTTTAGGAGGATAAGGCAGATGGATCATTTGAATTCAGGAGTTTAAAACCAGCCTGGGCAACATGGCAAGACCCCATCTCTACTAAAAATAAATAAACAAATGAGCTGGGCAAGGTTGTGCATGCCTGTGGTCCCAGCTACTCAAGAGGCTAAGGTGGGAGGATCACTTGAGCCTGGGGAGCAGAGGCTGCAGTGAGCCAGTACCAGGCCACTGCACTCCAGCTTGGGTGGCAGAGTGAGACTCTGTCTCAAAAATAGAATAAAATAATAGAAAATAGCATAAAATAATATAAAACAAACTAAAATAAGTTGGAGCTATATTAGGTGACCCATAAAGATTAGTTTGAATTATTGATGAGACAAAGTCAAGTGAAGGAAATTGAGCATAAAATTATCTTATTTTTACAAAGAAGTAATGCTGTTCCCCCTGCCCCATGTGTGAATAGGAGCTGACACACATGAGCATGGAGGATCCAGAACACGTTAGATCCTGATCAATACGGCCATATCCAGACCAAGATTTCTTCATGGGTTCTGGGGGCTGGACAGTCATACGATGAAGCGTAGGGTGTCAGGGAGTCGGAGAAAATAAGGGACGACCCAAGCAGAAGAAAAAGATGGCATCAAAATTAAAACTATATATATATGTATATATACACACGTATATAATATAATTACCTAGTAATTATATATTATATATAAAATAATCACATAGTGATTATATATTTTCTCCTTCCATCTACTCATACATATACTTTTATAATACATGTATTTATGCATTAATACATATATATGTATTAATATAAAAGTATATTTATTGTGAGTAGATGTAAGAAGAAAAATTTTAAATTATGTATACATCTTAAATATTTTCATTAACCCAAAACATAGAAATACACATTCCTTCCCTAAGATTTTTACATAGTCAATGTCTTTCCATCGAGATTGTTTATTTTTCAGAGTCCTTCCTTATCCTATCTTTCATACAAAAGCGTGCCCTGAATGCATTGTCTACAATTTCTAATTTCAGTTTCTGCACAGTGGAGTGAGAGCTTAAAGATACTTGCAGGGAAATTTTAGTACAGAAACCTTTTGGATGTGATAATTTTCCCACAATCTTTTTAGCTGTCTTGCTTGTACCGAATCCAATAATCTAATTTTAGCATCTCTCCTTTATTAAATCTTTGTGTAACTGTCAACTTGTTTCTCATAAAAATGATAACTCTTTTGCATTCACATTTCACCAGCTTATGTGACAATGTTAAAGTACAGCTAATATAAAAGAATCTTGGGAACAAACACATCTCCTTGTAGGCAACATTCATGTCAGCAGGTAGCCACTGTCATCTGTGGCATCCTGGAAGGCATGGGCGTCCTTCCGGCCTGAGCATTCAGTGAGCCCGGGGTCATGTAACCTGCTGAGTCAGTACCTAACAGCAGCACTCAAAATCCTCATGTACTGTGAATTGATGAGTGGGTAACTAGCCTGTCAGGATATACCCACTTCTCTGATTTTACTGTTATTCTATGATTAAAATATTTAGGATTGTGAGTGGGCATGGGCTGGGAGGCATGGAGGATTACATCCTTCTTTTTCAAATACGTTGTGTAGCATTTTGCTAATGTGGCAAAGTTTGTGATGAGTGGCATGGCTTGCGTAGGGCAGACCACATACTACAATCCTGTCTTGGGGGCAGCAAGGCAGTGCTGGGACAGGAAGGTGACCCAAATTCTTATTGCCTACTCACTGCTAGGTGACTATGGGAGTGTCATCTCAACTCAGTACATCTGTTCTCGTCTTCAAAATGGGGTGACGCAATCTGATTCACCACAATGTTTTGAGACACAAATGAGATAAATATTTTTTAAGGAATTTGCCACAATGACAGGCCATCAGAGTTACTTCCAAATCTACACACCCCGTGTACACTTGTAGCAATGGGATGGGGTGAGGGACCCCATCTCTACGACAAGCAGCAAGGTTCCTGGGAGTCTACTCCTTGGAGGTGGGCAAAGGAGATCCGGGTACTGCTTTCACCAGCAGCCCATTCCACGTCCTTGGGCACATCACTTAATCTCACTGACCTTCAGTTGTGTTACCCAGGAATAATAGCAGGAAAATTCCATCTAGCTTGAGACATTATGGTGAGGATTAAATAGAGGTTATGGGGACCGAAGGTGTCTGGAACAGAGGAGAGGCGGAATACATTGTATCCTTGTAGGTATGACGCAGTCTGCAAACTAAGATCTGAAAAAAAATAAGGCCCCCTAATTTCTATGACTCAGCTTACTTCTAACTCTTAGTTCCCATTTCTCTTGGTTGATAAAGAATTGAAACCCCACCACTTCCTGGGGAGCCCGCTGACCTGGCATTGTGGACCATGACTTCACATCATGAAGTAGGGTGCGGATTCGCCCTTTATCTTCCATCTGCACAGCGTAAGGCCAGATGTGCTTTGCCCTGTCTTCCTCTCCTGTGTCTCTCTTGCTCCCAGGACATGTTCAAAGCACAAAATTACCTCCACAGGTTGAAGTACAGAGCCAGGAAACAATTGAGTGCCAGAAAGTAGTGAGGAGACGAGCATATGAACCAGAGATGCCCATCTAAAGGCCTGTCTTTTTTGTTTTTTTAAGTTTAATACTGTAAGGACCAAACAAAGCACGCCTGCGGGCTGACTGGGCACATGGGCCTCTTCACTGCTCTGTGAATGAGCAGGGCCTGCTCTCACTTCGGGGCCACCGCTGGGAGTCCCCATCCTGGGATCCCATCTGTGACCCCCGCAGAGCTCTGCTGGAGGGTCTCTCAGTGAGGTCTTTCCTTTCCCCTTCCTACACTCCCCACCCCCTTCCCTGTTTTATTCTTCTCTATGGCTCTTAGCGCTGTGGTTTCCTTTATTACCCTGGTTAATGTCTATCTCTATCCACTAGAATGCAAGCCCCAAGTAGGCACTCAAGAACTACGTGTTGGATGAATGGGTGGATGGATGGATGATTTCATCATGGAATGAGACCCTCACCTCGGGCAGATGGGCTTCAAAAACCTCAGTAATCAAGATCAATCATATTTTAATGCAATCTTTTTTTAATTACAGTGCAAAAAATCTGCGAACAAACTATCAATTTTTTTTTTTTTTTGAGACGGAGTTTTGCTCTTGTTACCCAGGCTGGAGTGCAATGGCATGATCTCGGCTCACCGCAACCTCCGCCTCCTGGGTTCAGGCAATTCTCCTGCCTCAGCCTCCGGAGTAGCTGGGATTACAGGCACACACCACCATGCACAGCTAATTTTTTGTATTTTGAGTAGAGACGGGGTTTCACCATATTGACCAGGATGGTCTCCATCTCTTCCGCCTCGGCCTCCCAAAGTGCTGGCGTGAGCCACTGCGTGAGCCACCGCGCCCGGCCCAAACTATCAAATTTTTAAATAAAGGCATATCCAAAAGAAGTTGCAAGTGAGCCAATTTAAAATTATTTAAAATCATCATTTGTTCAAGAAAAAAATTCTCAAACATGGCAATGTTCTCAATTGTAAACAAGTTAAGAAAAGCAGTAGACTTGGAAATTTGTACTAATGAGTGTTCTTCCCTCAAAACTGGGGAAAATCACATTCTAATAAATTCTGAGCCTTTTTGTTTGGTAAAATAAAATATGTAAACTTCATATAAAGGTTTAATGCACCTACTTTTCAATTTTCCAACTTTTTTGATGCTACCTTAATTGGTTAATTCTGGAGAAAAATTAACCAATTAAAATACATCAAGGCCAGGTGTATGGCTCACACCTGCAATCCGAGCCACTCTGGGAGGCTGAGGCAGAAGTATCTCCAGGAGTCCAAGACCAGCCTGGGCAACATAACAAGAACCTGTTTTTATATTTCTTTAAAGTAAAAAAGAAAAAAATTTTAAAAAGGGAAATGCATCAAGACCTGTACCATCGAGGCTGACATTTTGCTTTTGCTCCAGGCTGTATATGGGTGACCAGGGCAATGGTTCTCAGCAGATGCATGCTGATGAAGCGGGATCGTGAGCCATCGCTCCCAAGCAGAACCCTGTCATGTTCACAGCCCGAATTGATTTCATCTACAGGAGTGAGAGGTGAGGGATTTCTGGAGGCTGCTCAGGGAAACTGCCCCGATTGGGATGCTTTTAAGTCTCCCTGAACCAAGCCATGTGGGCCTATTCCAATGAGCATAAAGTTTTCCTTTGCATGGAAAGATCTTGAAAAAGAAGAACTGTTGAGATCAAGAAGAGGAGAGGCCTGGGGAGAGAGGAAGGACTCAGTACCTTGTTCTCCAGGCATCAGACATCAACACCGGCAGCCTGGGCAATCCACACCTTTGTTCACGTTGATATCACTTCTGCCATTGTCCGCCACTCCCACTCTGACCCAGAGGTACCCACCAAATGGCCGGCGCCACAAGCCCTCACCAGGTGCTGGGTTGCAGCCGGGCTCCCGCCGATAGCCCAGAAGCCAGCAACATCTTCCTCAGGCGGATGCCCGCGTCTGACCCCACACTAGGGGTGGTGTTGGGAGGCAACCTTGTGATGTGGAAAACACTGGAGTGGAGATCAGGGTCTTGGGCTTCCTGCCATGAACCACCTACAAGACCTTGATCCAATTACTTTCTCTCTCTCAGCCCAAGTTTTCTCGTCTGTCAGATGAGGCCCCTGAGGACCTGTGCAGAGTTAAGAGCCTAGAAGGCAGAGTTCAGCTTAATATTTGATGTCTTTGCTACATCCTCAACCTAAGTGGTTAAAAGCAAATGACCTCTTTAGAGAATACCTAAATTAAAGATAGTCTTTCTTGGTGCAAACATAAAACGAAGAAGACTTTCAGAGGGCTCCCAACTATATGTGGAAGATTGACTGCACACATTTATCTTCTTACATTATAGCTTGGTGATTAGGTGGGTACTGGGGCCACACTGCCTGGGGTTGAATACTGGCTCTGCCACTTACAACTAATCTGAGGCAACTCTCTGTTCATTTCTTCATTTGCAAAACAAAGAATTGAGGGAACAGTGATAAGGTGGCTTCCCCTAGGCCCTGAATACAAGAAACATGGGAAAGAAAACAGCTACCCCTTGAGAGGCTGTGGGAGGCAGCATTCCCGGGGAAAGCTGGGTTTGGATCAGAACCGTGAGGTGAAGGAAGCATCACAGAAGAGGACGTCAGGGATGTGGCTGCTGATGGATGGAGGCAGAAAGCAGGGCATACAGAGCTACATGGGTCGGAAGTCTCCATGGGAGTCCTGGGCTTCCTACAGGGCCTGGGATAAAGGGTTCAACAAGATTAGTCTACGACTGGATAGGAAGCCATGCCACCTGGAGGTGAGGGAGCTGGGGAGATGTGGGTCTTTCCAGAAACACTTGGGCTCCTTTCCCAGTCTTGCTGAGGCCTGTGGGAGCTCAGAGGCAAGCTGTTCTAGAGAGGACACGTGTAGCCCGAGGGCTTCTTGACAAGCCCATCTTGGAATGAAGAAATACTGATTTCTTCCTTCAGGCTGGAGACTCTCAGGTAACAGGAATTCCAGGGGCAGTGCAGGCAAAGGCTAAGGCATCTGTGTATTGACTCAGGTTTACACAACTGCTGGCGGCAGCTGGGACCATCCACCTCTTCAGGAATGGCTGCCACTCTTTTGTTATGACTATGGGTTTCCAGCTATTGCCTGCTGTTGACCCCCCAATGTGACAGCTGAACAGCGCCACAAAGCAGGAGTCTCCCTGCCCCACCTGTGTTCTACAACCGCCTCGGATGGTGGCGATCTGGTCTTTTCAACAGAAGCGGAAGTGCTCACCTGCCTATTACCTACGACGTGGAACCCAGTGAGGGACAGTACGTGGTTCATCAGCTCGCTCACTCCATGACCGATCCTACAATGAATTATTTTTCCTAAAGCAAAGGAGAAACAATAGATTCTAAAAGAGTATGTGACTCTTATTTTCTGTCTTAGGAAAACAATAGCAAAACCACCTAGGCACTTGTGTACATATTTACATTTATTTACAAACGTTTCTATGTTATTAGTAAAAACCATCTTTTGATAAAAAAGCAAGCACCAAGTCATATAATACGCTGATGAGAGTCAGACTAATGCTTGTTCTCTGTTCGTGGGTATTTCTTCTTAAAAACCACAGCTGCTTCAGGAGTTCTTCGAACATTGGAATACTTAAACGAAAAATCCGATGGCTTTTTAGCTTTTAAAATAATTTAGTTATTACGCCATTGGCTTCATCTTCTTTACCAATCAACTGGAGCTACAAAAAAAAAAAAAAATTCATATTATAAAATGCAGTAAAGCTGGGCTGCAGACCAGTAGTCCTAACTACGCTCCTATTCTAATGTGAATAGCCTTTTTGTAATAAACTCATCAAAGCCAAGGGTGCTAGGGTGCTAGGGAGCAGGGATGGAGGGGGAGGGGCCTTGAGCACTCGTGGGATGTAGCCTGAGTCCCACCTGAACAACAACCTTGAGGATGTTGCACTCAGTAGCGGCCCCAAGGCTCCTCCCACCGACTCTTTGAGTGGAACTGAAACACCAAACAATGGAGCGGAGACTGTTAGACCTACAGGTAAACTGTCACCTATTCCTAACAGCTACTTCCTTCTTTGCTACATGAAACTGCTGGGGATAGTTTTCTTCCCACCTCAAACTTCTCTTCCTGTGTAGTCATCTCTGTGGTGGTGACAGAACAATCTCTGGCTGTCTCAGAGTAAATCAGCCAAAAAACAAAACCACACCCTTGCTTGAGCAAGCCCTCAGACCGAGTCCATTTCCTGCCCTCCCGCCCTCCTGCTAGTCTGCGTATTTCCACGGAGTTCAAAATCAGACCGGCCCAGAGCTCCCCATGCATTCCATCTCACTGGTAGCAAGAATTCATGAGAAATTAGGGCTGCGGTTACAGGGGTGAGGGAAAGGAGAGGAAACTGAATGTTTCCCTCCTTGGGAGCCTCACAGAACATGAAATGGGTGCTGTGCATTTCTGAGGGAGACAAGGAAAGTGAGAAATGTTTTTAAATCAGGTTGGCACACACAGGACCCTTGTAGGGGCAGCTTTCTGCTGGTCTCTGCTCCTCCGCCCTCTCCCAACGGTCTCCTCACTCACTACAAGGAATCAAGCCCGCTTCTCCAGCTTGGCCCCTGCCTGAGATCCACCTGTAAATCTTCTCAGAAATAGGACTCCCTGCTTCCTATTTAATTTGGCTGATTTTGTAATCTGTTTTCTAGACACTTACACAAAAAAATACCAAGGCACTCAGAAATTGCCTAAATTGAACTGCCTGGGTGAGAAGTATGGCGTGGTCATTGCCCGTCAGATGCCTGCCATCTACTCATCTGTCCTCTGCTGTTCCTGATTGGGTTTAGTTCTTCCTGGTTCTGCTCTCGTCCAGCTGGGGAAATACTGCATTTCTTCCTGGCTAAGCTTGCCCCTTTCTCTTCTCCTTCCCCCATCCCCTCCATCTCCACCATACACAGAACCTTTTAACATTTTTATTTAACTTATTTTTTTTTGATGCCCAGGCTGGTCTCTAACTTCTGGGCTCAAGAAATCCTCCCACTAACTCCTGGGCTCAAGGGATCCTCCCACGTCAGCCTCCCAAGTAGTTGAGACTACGGGTGTGTGCCACCACGCCAGCATCATCACCCTTTAGTAACAACTTGGGCTATTCCCCTTGCTGCCACAGTGGGTTCTTTGCATTTAAAAATGATTATTTAATAGGCAGTAAACACACATGATGCAGAATTTGAATAGTAAAATATACCAAGAAAAATAAGCTCCTCTCCCAATCTCTGCCCCAAATACTCAGGTCTCTTCCCAGAATGTTACCTTAGGGAGAAGGTCAGTGTTCCCTTCCTAGACTAATCATCCCAAAGCAGTGCTCTTCATGCAAACATTCCCGTTCAAGAACCCACAATGGCTTCCATTTCCATATCACTCTATTTTAATGACCCTGACTTCCAAGGACCTCCTTGCAAATATTCAGTGTCTTTTGCCTCTACTTCAACTGCCAGGCAGATCAATCTCACTATCAAGTAAATCACAACAGATTTAATTCCCTCTGGTACGTTTACCTCTGCTGTTTCTCCCACCCGGAATCCCTTTTCTACTCAACTCTTGTTCTGAAAATGTAGGTCACATCCTATTCCCTCCAAAGCTTCTCTGATGGTTCTGGCCTCTTCAATCCCCCTGCACTGGTTGCTCAGCCCTGACCATTCTGCCTATCAACTGTACTTCCTAAGTCCTTCTAAGAGTCTCCCATGCTCACGTGCATCCACTCTCACTCCCTGGTGTGGCCACAAGCTTCCTGTGGGAAGAGCCCTATTATATGCTTTCTCTGAATCCCACACAATGTCTAGCCTCACTAGGTACTCTGACCCCACACCATCAGCCAGCATAGTGCCTGGCATTGCATAATCTCCATAATGTTTGTTTGATGAAAGAAACAGATGAAGGAGTGCGTTCTGGAATGCCCATCCCCTTTCCCCATGGCCCTGGATGATGCCCCCCCCATCCCCATCATTGGTGGTGACGACGCCTCCCCCATCCACTCAGGCTTTCCCTCTATTGTAACCACCTAGATCACAGAGACCCGACTTGGCTCTCGCCCTCACCTGGTGTTCAAGCATATTGCTCAGCTCTGAAATGCCCTCCTCTGACCACAAGCCTGGAGGTCCCTGCCACTCCCACCTCACCTCATCTCCAGCTACTTGGCTCCTCTCTGCCCGGCCTCCTGGCCCATCAACTCCTCATGGCCTTGGGTCCTCCCAGCTTGGGCCTGTGGCCAGCTGAGCTGCCCCTTAGACTCCCTTGACCCCAGGCCTCCTGCCACAGCTGGTTTCCCCCAGTAACCTAAGCACTGTTCCACATGACAGCTAAGGAGAAAGGACATCGTGTAGCCCATCCATCGGTCCCACCTCACCCGGGCCCTTGCTGCTTAGCCATCCTCTCTTCATCCCTGCACTGACCACAGCGACTGACTCAACAAAACCAAAGGTCCTAACCCCTCGCCTACCTCCAGCTCTGCAGCTTTAACATGTAGCCTCCTCCCTCAGAGCCTCTAGCCCGGGGCTCCCCTGGCTCTGATCCCAGACTTTGCTTCCCCAGTCCTGCCTCCTCTGCCTCTTCCCGCCACCCTAGGGCATCTGGCTTTTCTCTCTTGGTGACCTCAGGTGCTCATGGCATCCATTACTGTCCGGATGAAGAGGCTCCCCAATCTGCAGCCCACATCTCCAATTCTGTGCATGGACATAACTACCCAAGTAACACACCAGCACCCTAAACTCATCCTGTCAAAGCAAACATTTGTAGTGTTCCTTCCCGAGCAAGACTCCTGTGTGACTCCTCTGCTACACTTGGTCCTGGCGCTTGATTTCTCTTCAGTGGTAACAGAATAATCCTAATGGCTGACATTTACTGAACACTATTATAAGCCAGCCACTATTGTAAGCACAGTTATTTCTATGTTATTATCTATGTTATCATTGCTATTTCTATATTACCATTATGCTCATTTCCCAGAGAAGACAACTAAGGCAATGAGTTTCAGTGACTTGTCCAAGGACTGCAAGAAATGGAGCTGGCATTTGAACCAGGGAGTTTGGCACCAGAGCCTGCACTGCCAGAGGAAAGTTTTGCTAACAAGACCTCTGCTGTTTCTCTCAAACCCGGCCCTGTATATTACATTCTGCCACCATCACCCCGACTCAGGCGCTCTTCTCTGCTTGGCTGGATTATTTCATTACTAACCATGTCCTCATCTGATCTATTGATTTGTCCTATGCTTTGCCAGCAGTGATCTTACTAAAGCATAGTTCTGTTAGAAAACTCTGCGGTTCTCCCCAAGAATGACCCACAGCCTCTCTCAATGTCTCAGCTTGGCCCAACCTGACAGCCCAGCCCCATCTTTCTCTAAACCCTTAACACTTGCTGCTCCAAAGAGGATGGCTTGCCACTTCTTCTCCTGCCCTTCGCACCCTGGGCCTTAACTCTTCCCATCATCCCTCAACACCCAGCTCGTTCCTTTGCCTGCTGACCACCAGGTGGGATCTGCCAGAAGGGGGCTTCCTGGAGCATCCTATGGCAGTTGACCAAACCAACATCGCTGCTAAGTGTGTGTGTATGTCCTTTCTTTCATTTGTGACTACAGGCCCAGCTCTGACCCTGGCTCCTGAAGTGAACCCAATCCCTGATCCAACTTTTCCTGGGATGGGAGGTGGAGGGGGTATACTCTAGTGGTTAACAGTATAACTCTTGGAGTCCAAAGACCTTCATTTAAATCCCAGCCCACCACTTACTAGCAATGTGACCTTGACAAATCATTTGACTTCTACGAGTTTCGTATGCACTGTCTCTAAGCAAGGGGTATGATACTCTTGCAAGGCTCATTGAGAGGGTTCCAGGAGACAATATACAGAGAGTGGCTAGCGCGGTGCACAGCTCACAGTTGGTACATAATATCCTATGGTCAGTATATCTGCTGATGTTTCTTATAACTATACAAGGCAACCAACAGATGAGTAGGATCTGGCTTCCCAAGTAATGGGCATCTACAGCAGGGCTGCTCTTGTTCTGGCACACAGCACACAGCCTGCAGGGTACTTACTTACTTGTTCCTGTCTGTCTTTCTATCACATTTCAGAATACCTGAAAATGAAGAAATTGTCCTCTCAATTGAAGAACTGAAAAGAAAAGCTGAAATGCGGGGTTACTGACTGCCTATTAGAGGCCTAAATATGGAAAACGAACCCAGAGCCCCATCAGCCTGGGATCTCCTGCTATCCTACGTGTTTAAATCAAATTGGCTACAGAGCTGGCCCAAAGAGTTGTTCAAAAATCGGTCAGAACATGATAGAAAACCACATGCAAACACTGTTGACAAAATGGCTAATTTTCCCTTGTGCATAAGGCTGAAGGTGCAGGGAAGGCTAGAATGCTTTGAACTAGCGCTGTCCCGTAGAAATATAATGCAAGCCACATCAGCAATTTTAAATTTTTGGTAACCACATTACAAAGTTAAAAAAAAAAAAGGATACATTTTAATATTTTATTTAACATAATGTGTCAAAAATATAAAATTATTTCAACATGTACTCAGTATAAACATCTTCTAATGAGATATTTTATATTCTCTCATACATGGTCTTAGAAACGTACTGCTTTACACTCATAGCACAGCATAATTTGGACTCCCACATTTCAGGTGCTCCACAGCCACATGTAGCTCATGGCTACTCTTTTAGATATGAGGACAGTGCTCCCACACAGGCATGCATGGGTTTCCTGCCCACAGGGCATCCGCCTACCCCACACTTATGCTAGGGGTCCAGAGGCCAAGTCAATAGACTGGACTAGAGCTTATGAAACTGTCGGTCATCTACAGCTAGGCAGCTGGAGCTGTTTCAACTCTTTTTTCTGAAGGTTCTTTCCCAAATAAAGACTTTAAGGTTGCTTAAAGATTGAGATACTTGCTGAGAAGTTTTGTTTTTGTTTTCTGAAACAGGGTCCGACTTCATCACCCAGGCTGGAGCGCAGTGGCACAATCTTAGCTCACCGCAACCTCCACCTCCCTCCCGCCTTAGCCTCCTGAGTAGCTGGGACTACAGGCGTGCACCACCAGGCCTGGCTAAATTTTGTGGGTTTTTTTGTAAAGATGGGGTTTCACCATGTTGTCCAGGCTGGTCTCAAACTCTTAGGCTCAGGTGATGCACCCACCTAAACCTCTCAATGTGCTGG